GGAAGGTGAGGGCGGCCCTGCCTCCCTTTTGCCTGCCTCCCTGTTTGCCTGCCTCCCTGTTTCCCTGCCCCCCTGCCTCCCTTTTGCCTGCCTCCCTGTTTGTCTGCCTCCTTGCCTGCCTGCTTCCCTGCCTGTTTCCCTCCCTGCCTGCCTCCCTGCCCTCCCTCTCTCCCTCTCTGCCTGTTTCCTTCCCTGCCTGCTTGCTTCCCTGCCTGCTTCCTTCCCTCCCTGCCTGGTTCCCTGCCTGCTTCCTTCCCTGCCTGCCTGCTTCCTTCCCTGCCTGCCTGCTTCCTTCCCTGCCTGCCTGCTTCCTTCCCTGCCTGCCTGCTTCCTTCCCTCCCTGCTTCCTTCCCTGCCTCCTGGGGTGTGGGCTCCGTGCTGGGCTGGGAGGGAACTTTCCCGGGGTGCTGGGGCCTGTCCTGGGCCTGCTCTGGGGAAACCGGGGCCTGTCCTGGGGGAACCAGGGCCTGTCTTGGGGGTGCTGTCCTGGGCCTGTCCTGGGGGACCCAGGGCCTGTCCTGGGCCTGTCCTGGGGGAACCGGGGCCTGTCCTGGGGGTACCGGGCCCTGCTCTGGGGGTGCCACCCAGGGACTGGGGCCTGTCCTGGAGGTACAGGGGCCTGTCCGGGGCCTGTCCTGGGGGTACCGGGACCTGCCCTGGTGCTGGGCTCTGCCCTGGGGGTGCCACCCAGAGGCCGAGCCCTGCCCTGGGGGTGCTGCCCGTTGGCTGAAATTCACGGCTGGTTACACAAATCACCAAGGAAACTCCCCCCGTTTTTCCAGCGTCATCCCGTGGGTCTGAGCCCCCCACGTTCTGGTGCAGGCTCAGCACTGGTAACGGCCGAGCTGGGCGAAAAGCTGCCTCGAGGGAGCAGAAAACACCATGTGGGCTCTGCCTGAGCTTCCCAGATGAGCAAAAGAGGGTTTAAATGCAGCCTGAGTAGCAAAGAAAACATGGGCTGAAGCGTAAACCCGCAGAGGTTGCTGTAGATGCAGAGATGGTTCAGCTGTGATGGGGCAGAGCCTTGTTATTCATTTGATTTTGGAGCCCTTAGGAACAACAAGGAGCACGGGCTGGTGCCAGAGACACACTCTGCAAAGTGAAGGCTGCTAAGGGTAGTATTTTGTGATCCCGCAGCTCTGCTCCAGATAACTGGGCAGAGAGAACAAAAACTGACTTGTCACAGGCCCCTTGTATATATATAACTATAAATATATATGTATTATATATATATTGCCCACGTTCACCTCCAGATGCATTTTGCAAATAGACACCAGGCAAGTTATGCTGAATGTTTGGGGTTTGGTGATAAACACTGTTACCTGTTGGGTGTAATTTGTTTAGTTTGTTGTTGTTCCCTTTTGTTTGTTTCCCCCCACCCTACCCAGAAGATTTGGCAGTTGCAGTTTGCAGAAACAAACCAAACAAAGGTCTGGCCAAAGCAGGGGTTTTCCTGCTATTTCCCTGGTTTGGTGGAGTTGAAAACTAAATAATAACTCGGAAACAGGATTGGCAGCCAAAACCTAAGTGTTTTGTCCACATTTTGGTTGAGTCAAGTCCTTTTCCCCCCAGTTATTATCCAAACAGCCTCTAATGTTTGTATACAAACACACACACCTTGACGATAATATTTGTATCTTTGTTTCTAAAGGTGTTTATTCATAATCCTCATGCCCGAGGGCAGAGAACAAGCACAAACAGAATGGTGCAAAGTAACCAGGATTCAGACATTTCTCTTCTCAACATTAATCAAGGGATCACTTGTCTTACTGCGGGAGTGCTGAACCCTCAGCTTGGTTATGATTGTCTCCTGGTTGGAACCCAGACTAATTTATTGGCTTATGATGTCTATAACAACTCAGATTTGTTCTACAGAGAGGCAAGTTCATTTAAATGCCTGCTTTATGATTTTCTTTTTTAGTATCTTTACTGTTTTCTTTTTCTTTCCATTCTAAACGTCACAGTTTTTTATTTCTTTGTCAGTTCATTTACTCTGCTGTTTTTGTCTTAATTCCTGTAATCAGAATATTTTGTCTTTAGAACCTCTGGAGTATTTTAAAAGAAAAATGTGAATATGTCTGTGCACATGCAAGAGCAGCCTTTGGTAGTAAGAAATTGAAAATAAGATTGAATAGGCATTCAGAGCTGAGCTAAACTGCTGGTGATGCTGCTGGAAGCTCTTCCTGCTTTCTGTACTTTGCTGTCTCATTGTCTGCTCTTCCTTTTCATGCTTCTCTGCAGGTTTCAGATGGAGCCAATGCCATAGTTCTTGGAAAGCTGGGAGATATTTCATCTCCACTTGCTATTATTGGTGGAAACTGTGCCCTGCAGGGCTTTGACTATGGAGGAAATGACCTTTTTTGGACAGTAAGACTACCCTTAATTCTTTTTATATTATTACCAGATTATTTCAGTGGCTTTAATTCCTCTTGCTTTTATTTTTTTGTTGGTAATGCCATCAATATTCATTTGGTTGTTGAGCCTTCTGCATTTCTCTCAGACCTTAAGCTGTGCTTTGGTTAAGTATTCAGTGCACTCAGGTGTTGCTTGAATGTTGATGATATCAATTGTTGCAGCTGAGATAATAAAAAGAGTTGATTTCAGCAGCTGTTACCAGTGCTGAGGAGTTTCTTTCTCCTTCTAGGTTACTGGAGACAATGTTCGTTCGTTAGCCCTCTGTGACTTTGATGGGGATGGCAAAACTGAGGTTTGGAACTCTTTTATGTGTGAATTTAGCTGTTTTCATGCTCTCATTGTGAAATGTTGATTTAAAAAAAAAAAAGGGGGTTATCAAATGTGACTGACTTGTATCACCTGTTCAGGTGATCCCTGCAGCCAAGTCGTGGCTGTTGCAGACTCTTGGTCGAGCAAACACGTGCACAAATGCTCTGCCTGTGCAGAAGGAAGCACCACTGATCTCTGGCACTGCTCAGAGTGTGGAAAATTGGGCATTTCTGGAATCATTACAGCTGTGCTGCCTGGCTGGTGACTCCATTGAATGGAAAACTCATTTTTCTGAACTACACCAGGAGAAACACAGTGAGATGCCTGTGATCAGCAGTTGTGAGGCATCTATCTCTGGTATTTCTTGAAGATGGCTATAAATCCTTTTAAATTTTCAGATAAACAGCTCAGAAGCATCTTACATGTACAAGGAAGCCCTTAAAAAGCTGTGCTCTGAGCAGCTTCACCTGCAATTGGTGAAATCAAGAAATGAACATCCAGCCCTCCTGTTTCTTCATAGAGACACAGAGGGATGAAACATCCTTTGCTTTTCTGATTTCAAATGAAGGCAGCTTGTAACAAGCAACTTGCTGATAGGGTGTGAGACCAAGAATAGTTTGGAGAGTGTCCTTTTTATTTCCTTAGCTTGAATAACTATTTTTAAGGTAGACTTTGATTTTCTTCTAGCTCCTTGTTGGCTCTGAAGATTTTGACATCCGGGTGTTCAAAGAAGATGAGATCATTGCAGAAATGTCAGAAACAGAGGTAAATGACTTCTAGCTAATTGCTGATGGAGCTGAAAGTATTGTGTGCTGTAAAGCTTCTCTGGTTTGAATTTATAGTGTAGTTAAGTAGTTACTTAACTGTTTGGCACAGTATCTGTTCTGCTGGAACTGCAGAACTTAGGGCTTAATTATGTCTTTCGTTATATGCAGAGTTTTTGGCTTTGTTTATTTATAAACCTCTCAGCAGGCTGAGAAAAGCAACTACTGCTTGACTGAAAGTCACATCTAGAAGTGATTAAGGTTACTGGATTGTGATGGGAGCTCCTGGTGCTTTGGAATGTCTTCTCCAGGTTTCCTCAAATGCATTGACACAATCGTGATGAATTAGCTTGTCCCTGTGTGTACCCAGACAGTGCTTGGCAGGGTAGAAGGAGGTTGCCCAGGAAAAACAAGAGGTTTGTGTTGCAGTTGGAGTTACACACTGGTTGTCTAAACAGGGCTGTAGTGCCTAAAGTAAAGTATGTGGCAGGTGGGTTTACAGAGGGATAAATAAAAGGTGTGGGAGTTGCTCTTTAGCTTAAGAACCAAGAGAAAATCTCCACTTCTAAATCGTGTCATAGAATCATAGAACGGTTTGGTTGGAAGGGACCTTATAGATCATCTAGATCAAGCCCCCCAAATGTTGGTTGTTTGGAGGGGAGTAAATTACCCTTCTTGCATTTAGGGTAGAGTGTTACAGACCTTTGGCCTTGCAGATCTGCAGTCTCCCCACTGCCCAAGTTGGGACTAAAAGGCTTAGTTAGCTGTTAAACCACTTACCAAGAGCTATAAAAGTCAATCTGGGCAGTAGGAAAGGAAGCTGGAATTAGAACTGGGCCTCTAATACATTCTGCTGACTGTGCAGGAGCCCCACCAGAGTCATGGTGTGATTTCTAATTAAATGGGCCTTTAGGTTCCCTTTATTTCCAGATCCAGAGTAGAATTGTTTTAAATTCACACCTGCAGAGTCTTAGGAGGCCTGTTAACAATCCCGTTCTAATTTAAAAGGACACAGCTGCACCTCAACCCTTCTTTTTAGGGAAGTAAATCCAGGGAACAGCAGAACTGTGAATTGTACTTGTGTTGGAAGTCTGGAATGGTTTGTATTTTGTGTGTTTAATCCTTTGCTGTGGTGAAACTGAGAGCATAGACTTTTGTGGTATGAAGACACTATTGATTCTGTCAAGTTTCTGACTGGTTTTGGGGTCTTCTGTCCTTACTGAGTGCTCATGGTTTAGAGTGAGCCTTGAAAACTGGGAAAGCCTTTGAAGAAGGATCTGGGAGAGCAGAGATAAAGGGTTTGGAAACCATGTTTTATGGTAAAAAAACAACCATCAAGGAGCACTGTCAGCTGAATTTACTTAAGAGGCTTGGGAAGGATTTAATTCAAGGAAGTCTCCTGTGCTGTGTAGACCAGACAGATGATTGCAGTTGTTCCCTCCTGACATTAACATCTCTAGCCTTAGTGTGTGGAAAAACCTGCATTTCCAAGCATTCAGAAGAGCCTTAGCACAATGGAAAACTGTAGGGTAATGGGTCTTAGCAGCAGTGAGAAACTGGCTGAGTTAGGACTCTTGGCTCTTT